TATTTTTTGTTTACGTTTTCAATGCTGAAACAGGAAATTTATAAACCTTAGTTATCATTGTAGGTTGTGCAAGTCTCAGATGGGTGCCACTCTCTTTATGTAAGGTAATTGTTTTGTTTGTTTAAGCGCAAAGTTACGTAATGAGCTGTCCACTCCGTACCAACTGCGAGAATCAAGCCCCAATTTTTAGCGTTATAATCCCACAAATTTATCGCCGAGTCTCCAGTGTGCAAGTAATATATTAACTATGTACTTTTGGTCTAACAAGGGGTGTTCATTTGTACGTGTTGGTAATTTCCTGACCATTGTCTAGTGAGAGGGCCAGAGCTGACGAGAGGGTGGCAAGGGGGATATTGGGATATTCCAAAGCCTTAGGACAAAATAAACCTTTTTACTTCTTTCTAATATTTTTATGCACTGCAGATGGCGCTTTATCTTGGACATTGAAGTGGCATAAATAGCTTATTAAGCAGAAGAGAAGCGAACAAATATATGATCTGAAAACATTTAACAAAAAATGGGAAGTAAACAGATGACCACTCATTGTATTAGTTTCGTTTTTTTTCCTGGAGACTTCGTTTAAGCTTGTTTATTATTAATGATGACAATGGTAACGTTCGGTAGCTGGTTGTTCGCTAGCCTATGCACGGAAGTAACCAGGCTTATGTTACAATATGTGTGGCTGTTTTCAACTTTAGTTTGCTGGCCTGGGTTATGTAATATAAAAGGTATCTCGGTTACATTTGTAATTTTTTATTTTCAATTTTACAGTTGTTTCATTTTACTTTTAGTACAAGTTATTAATGGTTTGATTCATTGAATCCTAACACTTCCAGTTATTCTTCCTGCTTACTTTGCCTAGTGTCATTGTTGATCATACGAATATGACTTCGATGTCATGTATAAAGTGATTTAAAATTTAATAAGACTTGTATAAGCACAACAACCACTGAGTCTGAAGCATGTATTTCCAATGGTTTTAGGAAAAGAGTTACTATAACATTATGGTTATTAACAGTGTATTTACTTTCATTGGTACCATTATTCAAATTAAAATTTGATTGAAGTTCTGCGCTTAATGAGAAGTAGTATTACCGTTCTAACGTTCTTTTCGTTTTGCACTTCTTCCCCCTTAGGTAATTAATTACCTGGTCCTGTTAAAAGCCCAAATTTAATTAATGATTTTAGCAATTATATTGTTTGTATAACACATTAGGCCTTCATACTAAAATTATGAATGGGGCTAAGAAATATGGCAACAATAAAGTATTAACTTATACTTAAAAATATCAGTTGAATACTTTTTGAAATGTCATCTTATTTAATACGAAAGTCGATGTGGAAAAGTAAATTATATATATGTATATATACACACACCATCTATATTAAACGTGTGATCTACATAATAACCCAAATTCGTTATCTTCAGTTTCAAATTTGTCCAACTTACAAATTAGTTCAAATAATTCTGCAATACTTTAGACGCAACATATTAAAATACAGCTAGAAATACTGAAAAAATCCCATAGCACCACAGCGTTCACTTTGACACAAGTTTTAGGCCTAATTTCATAAAACGCAATATAGGTTAATACTAATCTTACCTCTGCTTAACACTATTAGAATGTGTTCTGTCGTTGAGCGGGCTCTTTTGGATTTATTAATTCGTAAAAATAATTCCATCTTTAGTCCACGTATGGATAACGAATTAAATTTATTCCTTCTATTTATTCCTTTTATTATTTATTTCTTATATTTACAAATTACAGGAAGTGTTCACTTTGACACAAAGTCTAAGCCTAAGTTCACAAAACGTTCCAACAGAAATTGTAATACCGATGTTACCTATGCCTAACTTAAATGATAAACTATATTATAATATTTAGTTGAATTGACTCGATAGTTCGCTATTAATACTGAATTAAATCACTTATCGATTACTTCACTTAATGGGTGTGATTACTCGTATTTATATGGAAGTTTGTAGTCTTTTTTTCCATATACTCCACGAAGCTTCTCGATTCTTATCTTTTCAAGTTTCCTAAACTTCCTCGAGGATGTTACGCTTGCTTACGTGTATAGCTAAGTTTGTGAGTTTTTCTACTCGTAGTAAGGTTCTATCGTGTGGTGTTGGCGCTCATTTTGTGAATATCTTTAAAGCTCAACTTAAAGCTAAAATTTATTTGGTTTTCTTACGGTTTCGGCTACAAGACAACCTGTCGGACTTCTACAGTATCTAGAGCGAATCTGGGCAATTTGATAAGTGAGGGTCGACAAGATTAAATGCGTAGTTTTCTACTATTATTTGTTATCGTTTAAGTTTTATTAAGTTTTATATTATTTTTATTTTTTGTTTATTACTACTAATTTTCTGTGTGTGTGTGTGTACTTCAGGTAAATATTCTTGTCTTTTTTACTATACAGGTATGTACAGTCATTTTCATGATATGTCTTGTATCTTTGATGTATTTTTGTTTATATGAGGGTGGATTAATAAAGAAAAAACCTATATTCTAATGGTAGGAATTTAAAAAATATCGCGGAAAAGATAAAAAAAGTGAGGACAGATCGAAAGAAACGTAAAAAATAGTTTATTAATATTGTTACGACAGCGGAGGTCACGTGGCTCTGGTAA